AACACAAACTCATACCAGTTATCTACCAGGCTGAGAATTTCTTTCCCCTGTATCAGTATTATATGTTGCCTTACTTTAAGGCATAAAAGTTCAGATACACATAAAATGGCACTTTGAAGAAATAGAATGAACGGACTTAAGATAAAAGTACAAAACTTAAAATAAAGTCAAGAAAATCCAGTTAAAAGCCAAATAGAGTTGTATTTTTATACTGTACAAAAGAAAATTTACATTCTTAATATAACTAGATACACCTAGAGGAAAATTACATATCTGTCAAGAAACACAATATTTAACATCTTAGATTATGTTTCTGCATTGGAGACGGATAACTGAACTTTATACATCTTTATTTACAATAACTTAAAATATTTTCATCTCTGGCAGATATTTACAAGGTGAACAGTGACTAACTACATTTCACATTTCAACAATCAACAACAGCATTGATCAGTTAAGACAGGATAATGGCTTACATGCACCAATAAATATGATCTTAATGTGCAGGTTTCTTTCTTCAGCTCAAAAGATGAAGATTTTCACTAGTCCTAGGTTGAGAGGACATCATTCATTAAAAATAATTTCTACAAACCTATCCTATTTAAATTTTCATCAGCACCATTCCCTCAATACTTAGGAAATTTATGCCAAGCTACAGGTTAATGCTGGTTAAAAGCCCCCATCATTCCATATCCTTTCATGAAGCAAACATAGGAGTGGGTTATTTCCTTTTTACTTGTCCCTTGTTAAAGAGATCAGATTACAGAAAGCCAAAAAATCCTTGAGAAACTATAGCTGATAAATTATCTTGATAAAAAGTGGGGAAATAATCTGCACTGTAAAATCATTTCACTTCAGTTAAAGTGAGTATAAACCCAGCTCAAATTTTAGAGAATAAAGATTCAATGTGTTTTTTAAAAAATATTTTAAAGCAACATATGGAGCATATATCAATTCAGGATAATAAAACCCAAACCAGTGGCAGAGATAATTAAAGAGCCAATTTTCTTGAACTTCTAAGATAACTGACCAAAACATTTATTACTTTATAATTATGTGAAAAAAGAATACATAAACCTTTTATCAGGTAATGTACAATGCATGATTTTTAAATAATCATTTAAAAGCTTCAATAAATCTTTGTTCTTTTTGGTCTACATATTTAAGAAATGATTTTAGCTTTTATTAACCCAACCATGTTTTTATGCAAAGAAAAAGCTCAGCATGATCATGTACATAAATTATGTAAACAAACCATACCAGTTTAATCAATTATTGTATTAACCAGAAAAAAATCACCACTGCCCATTGAAAGAGGTGTATTTCCATAATTTCCCAATTTTATTGGAAAACCCCACAATATCATATAATATACCAATTTTAGGAATTTCCTTCTTATTCAATACTGATGTGCAGACTCCTCGCTTATAGTCAGGAAGACATGAAAGTGTGCCGTATGAAATAATATTTGGACTTAAGCTTTTAACTTGTAATTTTTTTTAATTTGTAATTTTGCTGGAAGATAGATATGTTGCTGACATAGGAAAACCAAAAATGGAATCCTATATCCTATATACCTATTTTCCAGGTCAAAAAATCTTTTTTTTTTTTTTTTTTTTTTTTTTTGGCAGAACCGGGGATTGAATTTAGGCCCTTGCACTTGCCAGGGAAGCGCTTATTCCACTGAGCCATCTCCCCGGCCCCTCAAAGAATCTTTTAATACTTACTTCCTTGGGGTTAGAAAGCAATCTTTCTGTTAAAGGGCACGCATTCCTTAGCAGGTACTTTAAAAACTTTATTTGGACAATAATATTTTCTTTGGTAAATTTTTTTTTTTTTTTTTTTTTTTTGGCAGAACCAGGGATTGAACTCAGACCCTTGCACTTGCCAGGGAAGCGCTTATTCCACTGAGCCATCTCCCCGGCCCCGGTAAATTTTGTAATCAATGAAGGTGTACAAAATTTCCTCTAACACACTTAATACTGAGCTGTTTACAACTCAACATAGCGAATCAGATTGATGCTAATTCTGCAGCTGGGAAGAGACTGTTCAAATTAAGTTCACTGCTCTGAAAGGAGATCTCTCTACTATATTTACCTTCAAATCCAGTTTTAAAAATGGACTCATTTATACTATAAGCTACACCTACTTCTATTTTTTTGGTAAAATCTGTATCAATTATAATAAGCATATTAGAAGACAAATGAATATGCTTTAATTTGTAAACATTAGGAACACATTGTTTTGAAATTCAGAAGCAAAGCTCAGAGCCTGTTGCTGTGCCACGCTGCATTATTTTGCACCATCCTAGTTCTCTGCTAGCTTTTATCCTGAATTTGCTATTTCTCACAGAACTAATGGCTAAGATTCTAGAAATACTGAAGAAATGTATTCTCACAAAGTTGGGACTGTGTGATCAGGTCAGTAGACATATGCCTTCATGGGCAGGAAGGATGCATGGCGAACCCTGTGTGAAGAGTCATTTCTTAGGTTGCTCAGTGCCGCGACACCCAACAGGCACACACAACGTAATACTAAAATTTGTCTTATGCTACCGATTATGAACAACACAGCAGAGAAAGCTGTACCAGTCTGGTGACTCATGATTTTATTAGTGCCTTTAATTATACACTTCATCTTCTTTTAATCTGGCAAATCCTCTATAAAGAGTTTAAGTTATCACTATCTACTTGATTTCTCACATAACTTATTTTAAAAAGCACTTTTTAAAAAGTAGTAGAAGTACGTGTTTCAACCAACTTGGTGGTGAAACAATGACAGTAATCATTCAGCTTGAAAGATAAAAAGTCTCATGTTCAGACTGTAACATAGCCACAGTATAGAAATTGCCCTAAAATTCTTACAGATTTTCTGATCACAGCATGACCTACTGAACTTTTTAAAACTGAAAAACCAATACATAAACACTGCTTTTCAAAAGTGTACTCTGTACTGTAATCCAAGCTGAGAAGCGGAGATGCCCCTCCTGGCCAGTGTCTCAGTATATGCTACCCACCAAGACACATACTAGTATTTTCATGTACAAATGAACATGCAGAGAATTAAATGAGACAACTGATTGTCAACAACTGAAGTACCAAAAATGAGACTCATACAAACCTCACAAAGTGAGATAGGAAAAATACCCCACTTCATTAAAATATTCACAAAAGTAGTGCAAACAAAACAATCTGAAAGAAGTTATTCTCAGTATTCCAGTGTCTAATAAATATAATTTGAGAATACACATTGGAAATATTAAACCTTAATATAGCTGAGACTTCCACAGTGAAGATATTTTATATGGTATATACACTTTGACGTCACTGTCACTGCTCCATTATGGAATTGTAAGCTTTACACTATGACCCTCTTTCAGTTACGTAAGAAAATATTGCTTTGATTTGCTCCACACACAGTAAGGTCCAGTCTTTCTCTACACTGGAAATTAATGTAATTATGTTCCTCTAATCTTTATAATACTGCATTATACAATTAACTGGCCACCTTAGTGACTGAAAGCTGGCTGATTTAAAAACTACTTTAAAGTTGCTAGAAACACTGATCAAGCCTTTTTTTTTTTTTTTTTTTTAGTTTATCTTGCACTTAAATAAATCTTCACACATATAAACAACATGGCAGCATACAACTGCTATGTGGCAGAAAATCCGTAAGGCATAAATTAGCTTAAAGAATAATGTACCTATCCTTACATCTGTATAGACACCTACATTTCTAACACTTCCTTATCTATTCTTATTGCCCTTCATTTTATTCTAGATTTAATACTTTTCTTAACGAGCTGTATTCACCAACTACTAGATCAGAAATGGAAAGTGTTACTCCATTACCACAGTAAAGAGAGGCAGTGGGGTGTCAGCACACACCTGACAGGAGACATGCTGCTTAGTTGTGCGGCTCCGTCGTGTCACGACCCTTCTGCTCCTCAGTTTCCTGAGGCTGAGCTTTGTGAGGGGAGACAAGCTAGAATGTCTCTGGGGTCTCTTCTACCCAAAAATTCTGATTCTATAATAAATAGGCACAGAAGAGTGGAGTGGAAAAGGAAGGGTGGTGTTTAGAGGATCTGCATTTTAAGTTACAACCATTTTCCTCCTAGCTTATTAAAATATGTTCATACTTTAAAACTTCTACATTAACTTTTCATTTTACGCTTAAACTTTTCTTTGTAATACCATAATTGTAAATTCTGTCATAAAGAAAAGTTCCCCAAACTTTCAGATGTTTCTTTGTATTACTTGATCTCGACAAAATTATTTTTTTTTTAAAAAAACTTTTTATTTATTTTAACATTTATTTATTGTGTGTGTGTGTGTCCAGCTCAGCCCACCAGGGGGCGGGGCTGGCTGGCATGTGGTGCTGGGGGATTGAACCGCAGTCCCTGTGCTTTGTCAAGCTTGTTCCAAGTAGGTGCTTTAGACCACTGAGCCATCTCTCCAGCCCCGATCTCGACAAAATTAATTGCATCAAATTGTTTTATTATAAAAATCAAGTATTTTGTCCCCTAGATGTATTTTCTGTAAATAGATGGACTATTTTTTAAAAAACAAAGTTAAAAATATGAAACAGGCCAGGGAGATAGCTCAGCAGCCTAAGTGCCTGCCTGGCAAGCACAAGGTCCTGAGCTCGATGCCTGGTTCCAAAAACGAAAAGAGCAAAAAACAAAAGAAGCCCGAAAGGACTGAGCATGAGGTGTGGGCATGCATCTGTTCTGGTGGTTATACGTTTGAAAAAAGCCTATTTGAAGTTAGGTGGCAACAAATACTGTAAGGATTTTTTAAAAACTCATTAAATTTGACAATTTATTAAACTTAGTCATTTCTTTTTAGCTGTATCATACATAGCAAATCTAACACCCGGAATGCAAAATATTTTTGTTTTTCTTTTTGGTCTTTCTGAGACAGGGTCTCACTACGTAGCTCAGGCTGGCCTTGAGCTCTCAATTTATAGCCCAGGCTGGTCTTGAACTTGCAGAGATCCTCCTGCCTCAGCCTCTCAGGTGCTGGGATCGCAGGTGTGCGCCACCTCGCCCAGCCTGAATGCAAAGCTTAAACCAAATGAAATGTTTCCTTACTGGAGTCAAATCACATAACTGAAGGAATAGAAAACAATATGAAGCCATGAAACATTAATGGTTATATACACAAAACTTTTTTTAAAAAAAATAAAAAGCTCTTATTTATATGAGTGGAAATAAGTGAAGTCCTCTAAGATTAGAAAGTTTTAAAACTAGCTTTGCAGGAATAACTTAAGATTCTTAAACAAAGGGAATTTTTATCATGAATTTTATAGCTTTTGCTGTAGTTTGGTTACATCCTTTGTGCTGTAACTAAAATCATTCTTGATTTAGATCCAGTATACACACAACTTTTTACACCAGGAATTTTTCTGCCAAGATCTCACTCCCTGCTAAGTCTGATGTTCCGAAGCCTTATCTTCCTTAGCATGAGCACACTCATACACCTCACTTATTTTCAGTTTTAGCATTCTTTTCATTTCTTTGACATCCCATAGTAAAATGAAAAGAAATAAGGCTATCTCAATTATCTTTGTGACCTACATGTACACAGACCATACACACAATAAACTGCCAACTTTTACCACTACCTTGGACTTTGGCAATATTGAGGCTACTAGTTCAGGGTCTGTTTTCCATAAATTAACAGATCATCAAATTCCAGAAGGATCTTTTTGGAGGGGCTGCCTCAGGCTGCTGTAGGGGCGGGTCCAGTGCTGCTTGTGGGGCTGGGGGTCAAACTGCAGTCCCCTGCGTCCAAACGAGTCTGCCCAGGCAGGCACTTTGAACAGCTGGGCTAGCCTGCAAGCCCCCTGGATCACCAAAGTCACACAAGTACCTTACTGTTCTCAAGAAGATTCCAACATGAAAGTGCCTTAACATTTGTCTTTATTAAAGAAAAATGCCCTTATAATTAAAAAGGGGAGGATTAAGTATCAAAAAAGCAACATTTTTTTTCTGGTTATTTTATAATCCAAGCTTACTGTAAGTATAGTTGGCAGAGATAAAACTTTAAACTTTATTAGAATACTTGCTTTCTATAAACTCACTGTATTTTTCTTTCATGATAATAAACTGAAACTAAGTGTACAAAGCACTCCACTGTAGTTTGTGGAAGGGTAACTTAAAGTTCACGTTAAGTACTGTTTCGAAAAGTCTAATATATTCCCTTCTTTTTGCAAACATTAGAGCCTGAGACTCACAAGAGGATGTAGCAGGTCTTAGCCAACCAAATCAAAACATAAAATTTTTTAAGCAGTAATGTACTCTTGTGGCCTCTTAGCAGTTACCAAATGCTACTTCCATACATTCAGTATCTAGCTTAGTGGCATGACTTCAAAGTTTTATAAAAATGAGAAACTCTGCAGATACAGGATTAGAAGATTTACAAATTGCATCACATTGAACATAAAGGCAGTATGGTCCTTATATTAGAAATTAAGTCAGTACCCCCTGGTAGAAATGTTCTATAAAATGTATTACATTGAAGCATCAGTGTTTCAGCCAATTATCTGTCCCTGATGTATTTCCTTGGAATATATGACCTATCAGGACTTTTAAGTTTTTTAATCCAAAAGATCTGACTGAATTTAGGTACATCTAGAAAGCAGCTGAAAGGGTTTCTCCAATAGTCTTGACAGCTCAGAACATGGACTGAGAAATCCCTCTCTTTACCTGAAGACGTACAGTTCTATTTCAGTCATCATCAGCTCACAAAAGAAAAAAGCAAAATAATAAAACCTTCCCCCACATACAGTCCCACACACACTAAGCAAAATCCCTCCCCCACAAAACCCCAGCACCGAGTCAATCATTCCTGGGAAACAGACATGCCCACTGGATTCTCTGATTTGTTAGTTGTTCGATCTTTAAGGAGAAAAAAGACCTTAAGTCTTAGTGGGAAGAGGGAAGACATGTTAATAATGACTAGAGAGCCATTGAAAAAGTGCATTATCAACTACATCATCAACTTAGAGCCCAGCTCTCAAAGAAGGGGGTCACAATTTGACTTAAATGCCTTCGCAACGAGTGTCTATGTCCCCAATGAAGGAGACGCAGGGAAGGGAGCCACCCTCATTTTCATGAGAAAGTACAGCAGCCTGCCACCCTTCCCCGCACTTCTTGAGAAAACGACTGCAGACTCAGAGAAGTCCAAAGTCGTAGCACAATCTCTGAGGCACTCCTGGTTAAGACAGAAAAAAATACGATCCAGTCATCTTCATAGTTCTATAGATTATGTGAACAAACCCGTTTTTGTTTTGTTTTTAAACAAAAGCCAAAGAATCATTTCATAGGGATCATATCCAGCATTTCCTCTAACGCACCCTCAGTCTCACAGTGTTGAAATGGGACTGATCCGCCTACGAGGGATTGCACATCACCCAGGGAGAAGGGGAGGCCTGGAAGGCAAGCACATTACACTCTTCCCAGCACACTGACAACAGGAAACAGGGAGGCGGAGGAGAGAAAGGAAAACCTTATTGCTGTCTCCATCGAAAAATATGGGGTGAATATGAAGAGCTAAATCAAATCCAGCTGCGATGACTAGTATTTTCACAAGGCGGGATGAAGGGTCTTCTTGCACAAGGAAATGTTCAGTTACAAGAAAAGCAGAAACAGCACAGGGCGTGTCAAAGCTACACCTGGGATATCAGCTGCATATTGAAACTTGGAGAGCGGGACTGCTTGGTCAGGGGGGCTCCTGGGCTGAGGAGCTCCTTCCCATCCCCAGCTTGACCCAGCCGGTCTTCCTGGAGGCTGATGGTTGAGTAACGGTTAGCACTGTGAGTGGCTAGATTGGTGATTCCCTCCGGACCGACCCCGATGCTAGTACCTGCTTGGCTGCCGTTGACGTAGTCAAAGGATTTACTGGAGGAAGCACTGGCTGTCCGGATTAGACTCAGACTATTGGTTTTTGGCACCACCTGCCCAGCAGGCAGGCTCAGGTGTTTCTTCATTGGTGTCAGCTCAACTGAATCTGCACTAAGGTCAGTAGGCTGCTGTCCGTACTGTTTGCGAACCACTGGCTCTCGAGGGCTCTCACTGGATTTGGTGGCAGAAGCTGCTTCTTTGTCTTTGGCTGAACGCCCAGTGGCCACTTTCCGCAAGCTTCCTCTCTGAGAGGAGGAGGATGCTTTGGTCCCAACTGGCTGGCTGCTGAGGGAAGCCCCTGATGAAAACCCTTCATCAGCATCATTCAGGTGTGCAAGTTCTTCTCCATTTATGCTTTCAGCACCTAAAAACAAAGTATACAGACTCAGTGACAGCTAGAGTAAGGGAGAGGCAGAAGTGAACAACACTGGCCTCATCTTGAGAAACGTTTGCTATGGGTTGCTAAAGGCCTTACTTACTGCTGGACCTCATGTAAATAATTCAGGAGAATAATCTTAATCTACACAAAATTGTAATACATTATTGTGTTTGTTTAGTTTAAATTACCCCAGCTCTGGCAAAACTATCCAAAATGTACCTAAGCATACTGTCAATACTGAGACACACAATACTAGGTAAAACACAACATTTTGTTTTCATAAGTCTTATCATACACAGTGCCATTGATTTGAGACAATCACAGCTACCTATCTGAACTTTTTCCTCATATGGTTCTTAACCTATCACAGGAACAGACTGTACAAGAGATTCTTCTAATTTCAGGGATCCAGTATACCAGAAACTCACTTAAACTACAGGACAAAACTAACTAGCTCTAACTCTTAACTCTCTCTTTTGTGTTTTTTTTTCCTCTTTTGTGTTTTTGAGACAGGGTCTTGCTATATAGTTCAGACTGGCCTTGAACTCACAAGGATCCTCCTGCCTCAGCCTCCCAAGTGCTGGACTACAGGTGTGCACCACCACACCCAGCCAAACACCTCTAACTATAATAAAATTTCATATTTACTTAGCTGCTCCTATATGATTTTATAACTTTTAACATGGAACTAGTAAGTTTTCTAACTTATAATTTAAAAACTTCACAGCTTTCAGAAATGCCATTACTCTCTATAAGCTGGTCTCCCTATTTTCTTGATCAGTTAATGTGAAGGAAATACTATTAGGGAGCGGAGGCAGGAACCTAGCAGGGACAATGAAGAACATTTTTGGTTGATATATATTTCTATATTTTGGATTCTTAGCCCTGAGATATATTACTGTCATGGCCACAAAATACTGCAGTATTAATATTTCATGCAAAATGTCCATTCAACTAATGAAAAAATCATTTTTGTAGAAAGAAAAGCATGTAATACATTGAGCTTGTCATTTCTAGAAAGCCAGTTCTCTTACTCAAAGTATAATCAACCTCTTAGAAGTTAACATCTGATGATGGCTTACTACACTACTGCTATTGATTCACGTTTTCCACAGACCTCAAGAAAGTTTAATCTGAATGTACAAAATAGATCTGCATGTTATGTTTAAGGGGAAATGTTCAGAAACAATCTAAACAAATACTCCTTTGAGTCTTTCCAAAGCAAAATATGTAAAAAACACAATCTTTAACATATATTTGGAAGAATAAAAACAATTTCTCATACAGATTTTTTTCTTTCCTTCTAAAGAAGAGAATATCCTAAAGCAAAAAGCACCTTGTTACAATATATATTGTACACATATCCAGCAGTTTAATAAAGTTTAATCACCATGCAAAGCCATGTGGAAATGCATTAATCAACAAGAGTAGCAGCTGACACTTCTCTCAACCCCTTCAAAAGAACTGTATAAAATGTACCTCAAAATAAAGACGTTATTTCTATGAAATCATCTTAGTAATTTATTTAGAATTAGTATAAAAAACTCCAAAAATACCCAACAACAGATAATTAACATTAGTGATACAAAACTGGGAGCAAACAAATAAATTGTTGGGTTTACCTAATTAGGAAGAGACTGAGAGATTCAGTGCTAGCTTTGAATCTCGCCACATGCAGATCTGCTGCCCAAGCAATATGGCCATAAAGGAGACGGTGACAACATAAAGGCCGCCATGCAAGATAATCTACTAGAGTTTTACATACTAAGAAGTATGTTTCAGTGAGAAGGAACACTGACTATATTTTCATCACAGGCACTGTCTTCAGGTTATGATGGGCTGATATTTTTTCAACATATAATAAACAGGGGCCAAGAGATGGCTCAGTGGAATAAGCACTTCCCTGGCAAGCGCAAGGGCCTGAGTTCAATCTCCAGTTCAGCCAAAAAAAAAAAAATAAAAGATTAAAAAAATATAATAAACAATTCAAATTGGAAAACTTTAGAAAACTGGTTTTTAATATTGTCTACATTAACCCAAAAGCTCCAGCATACTACAAAATCACCAATTTATTTTTTTTATAAAAGTATTTAGTACAGGGTATACCGAGTCTCACTACACAGATCAGACTCATAGTGATTCTCCTGTTTTCAGCCTCCTGAGCACTATTAAAGGGGCACTGGGATCATAGGTGCATGCCACCACACCCAGTCTCAACTGCCATCTCAGCACACCCCAGAGGCGGGGCGCTAGCACAGCAGGCTAGGGATTGAACCCTGGCCCTGCATCTGCCTAAGCAGGCGCTTTAATCTAAGCTATCTGGCTAGCCCTCACCAAGGTTTTATTTTTTGAGACAGGGTCTGGCTATGAAGTCCACCCTGACCTTGAAGTCATTATGGAGCCCAGGGTGGCCTGGAACTTGGGACACAGGCCTGTGCACCACCATAACCAGCACAAGTTTTAATAATCTCGTTCTACTTCTAAAAAACCTCAAGGCATACAAAAGACAACTATGTTTCAAAATACTTTTTAAAAAAATATTTATTTATTTTTATTTATTACATTTATTTATTGTGTGTGTGTGTGTGTGGCCAGCCCAGCCCACCAGGGGGCGGGGCTGGCTGGCATGTGGTGCTGGGGGATCGAACCGAGGTCCCTGTGCTTTGCCAAGCTTGCTCCAAGTAGGTGCCCTAGACCACCGAGCCATCTCTCCAGCCCCTTTCAAAACACTTTGATTTTGTCCCTACATGACAGAATTCATGATCCCCCCCCAAAAAAGTGAACACAATTTTTAGTGAATGTTTCTCTTCACAGCTGTCTTTCCTATACATTTAGCTTCTTGTAACAGAGATTTAAAACTACAACCTAAGATATTAAAAAGTCACATTTAAACTTGCTCAAGAAACTTACTCACCCATCCTTAGGGCTACACTCTCCCATTCCCTTCCCCAAACTGAAATTTTATCAGGAATAGGAGATACTGAAATAGAATATCTTAATGTTTAATAGGGTACCAGAAAGAAATTACTATTCTGGGTCCCTTCTCAGAAGTGTATGTCTTCTGCTGGGTGTGATAGCTCAGGCCTATAATCCCAGTGCTTGGAAGGATGAGGCAGGAGGATTACCAAGAGTTCAAGGCCAGCCTGGACCACACAATGAGACTGTCTCAAAAATCAAACAAATAAAAAAAACAAAGTAAATGGCTTCTGATTAACTGGAAGCAATGCTTCAGACTGTGACACTTACTAGAATTTCATCAAGTGTTAAAACCTAAAGTAATACTATCTTTAGCACAAATATTCCTGAAACTCTAATAATGGTAGCACATGCACATCAAGTGCCTCATTTAATCATCAAGAATGTTGACAAACAGGCTAATGCTAAATTTAGGCCAACCCCATGTTTATATCTATTCAGTTTCACTTGTATGCATGTATAACAGTTACAACTGACTGGTTGCTAGAACAAAATGAACAGTTATAAACAAAGACAAAAGGCTGCATCTTCTATAGCCATATAGAGAAGGATCTCTAAAACAGTGCTGCTGTCTGGGTCCCTATGCCATGCACATGCAACACCGTCAAATCAATCTGGGCAGACAGGCCAGGAGACAGAGGGCAGACTTTGGTTCTTACTGAGCATGCTCAAATCTCTAAAACACCAAAGAGCAAGAATTCCTTCAGGTAGAAATTTACTGCTTTATGAATGTTTGATCTTTATAATAAGTAAACCTCTTTTACAAATGCTTGGCTTATTTATTTTATAACTTGTGTAAAGGATCCACAGTGGAAGGAAACATGTTAAGTAATGACAACTGTCTGGCTATATTTCCCTATTTCACAAAGCTAACTCCTGTGCATTATATGCGAAACAGCAAGTAACTTTTCCTGGCAGAGAGAAGTGTTCTTTCACAGTGATAGGGAAGTGGGTGTACAAAAATGGCTTTGAGAGGCCTATGTAGTAAGAAAAAGAATCTACTAGGATTCTGACTTCTACATAATATATTTCATTCTGTTTGGGAGCTAGGTATCACATTAAGTTGTGTAGTAGTCACCAGAGTAGCACACTGATAGTGGAAAAAAGGCACTAATTCACTAGTTAGATCTATTTAATTTGATTTACAGATTCTAAAAAGCCAATCAATACTAGTACATTCTGCAAAACGGAGGAGGCCTTCTTGTTACCTGAACTGTAGAATTACAGATAAATTGGCCAGTTCCACTTCAATTTCCCCAGTACATTAAGTTCTAAAAATCTCTTCACACGATCTTCCCCCACTTTTCTTTTGGGGGGTGGTACTGGGAATTCAATGCAGGACCCTCACATTTGCCAGGCAGGCGCTGCATCATTGGGCTAAACCCCCAGCCCTCTTCACAGGTTTTTAAAGACTAAATTATTATTATTATTTTTTTCTTTTTTGCGAAACTGGGGTTTGAAGTCAGGACCCTGCGCTTGCCAGGCAAGCACTTATTCTACTGAGCTATCTCCCGACCCTCCAAGATTAAATTATTATATAAACGCATCCATGCTGACCAGTAAGGCTCCTGTCACTGGTGCACTTCCCCAGAACAAACATGCTCAGTAAGGAGAAATCCCAAGCGCGTGCAGACTGTGGGGACAGGCCCCACCTTGCTGGCAGCTGTGCGAGTTGCTCTGGGCTTCACAGGACGCACACTCCAGGCTGGCACAAGAGTAACTGAGGATCACGCCCAACCTGGTGCCAGGCACAGGCAAAAGGGGTGCTTTGCAAGGAGCAGCTGGTACCCCGGGTGGGAGACACACACACTAGAAAGGAAAGGTGCTCCGCGGGGGAGAAAGAGCCAGGACCCTGCCCCAGCAACGGCCTCACTGCCTTCTGCCTGCTCAGCTCTGTCCTACCCTCAGTTGTGGCTGCTGCCGAGTTGGGCTCCGGCGAGCGGTGCTCAGGGGTCCTGCGCACCGGCACCTCCCCCTCTTGCACACGCTTGATCCCTAGGTCAGTGGAGTCGTGTTGGATCGGGGAGCCAGGAATGCTCGAGTCAGCCTCGTTTGAGAAGTCAAAGCCATCTGGGATTCAACATATAAAATTTTAGTGCTTTTGTGCTGCTTTACTCTTTTCTGAGCATTCTGACCCAGGCAGGTGAGAGAATGTATATATGGATATGATATTAACACAAACATTACTAATAGTTACATGTGTGTACACAGCTTGCACACACATAAGGCAGCAGATGAACAATGTGAGGTTTGCAAATGAACAGGACAGGAAACTAGGAATTATTAAAATGGCAACTGATACCTCTTAGGCAAGACAGCTCGACTATTCAGGTCTATGAAATATTGGTGGGCTCAGCACTCAAGGAAAAGCAAAAACAAAAACCGGAAACAAGAACCAACTCCGATGGGTTGCCTACCACACTGCCAGTGTGGCCAGTTAGTTCCCCCACGGTGCTCATACACGCACCTTTTTGTTCCCCAGTAAGTAAACAGGTTTAAAGCAACTTTTTTCCTACTGTTATGAGTTCAAAAAATATAAAAATTAACCTGGTCTTACTTTCTGTTTTAACATTCTTAAAGCATTCTAACATCTTTATACATATTCATATATATTTACACTAAAACAGTTTTAAGCATTTAATGCCTTTTTTGGGGGTCTTTTTGAGACAGGGCTTCACTACACAGCTCAGGCTGGCCTTGAACTCAGTAGCCCAGGCTGGCGCTTACCTCCCAGCTATCCTCCTTCCTCAGCCTCCCCAGGTGCTGGGAGTGCTGAGATTACAAGTGTGCACCACCACGCCCAGCTCTAGTGCTGTTTTTAAAAACCAAAATTCTTTTGAAGTTCTCTGTGGTAACATGCCCTGTGCAATTTGGGAGGTACTTAACAGACTATGAGACTTTGTCTTTACCTTCTCTTTTCCACCTGTGACGACGGATTGAAGCTGTTGTGATTGCAGTCCGAGAAATCCTCGGCACTGTTGGGGTGACTTCCACTTTCAGGACCTTCTGGCCTTCTTGGGAGGAGTCGGGAGCATCGAATGGCAGTGAGTTTTTCATGGCGTTGGCAACCTGCAATGATAACATAAGCCCATACACATTTACAGCCCACACACCTTTTGGTTATTGTATACTTTCCATAATCCTTTACGTATGTCTTTCAACTCTACTGCTGTAACCTACAAAAGCACAAAGTATCAGGAAGGTTTGTATTGCCAATGTTCTGTATTCTCTTTTTTTTGAGACAGACTCATTATTAGGTAGTCTAGCCAACCTCCAACTCTAAGCAATCCTCTTGCCTCAAGCCTTTGAAGCACTGGGATCACAGGTGTGCACCATTACACCCAGCCTGGGCTGTAATCTTTTAAGCAGGCTTTAAATAAATGAGGATTTAATTGTTAAAATGTGAGTTACACACTATGCACTCCTTTAACTCTCTTAAAAATGTGTTGAAGTACAGGGTCTACAGGGTGTTCACTACTCAGATTGGATTCGTAGTGCTTTTCCTGCTTTCAGCCTCCCAAGTGCTGCGATTACAGGCAAGCGCCACCACACCCAGTGTCAATCACCCTCTCAGCACGCCCTGGGGGCAGGGCCCCACATCCTTCAACTTTAAAAGGAAAAAAAAAAAGGCATTTAACATTTGCGTCCTGGTATAAAACAAGTTAGAGTTACATTTCTGATTGTTCTGCTGATAAATAATATGCAAAACTGAACCCCTGGTAAGCACTAGAGACTGTCCACACCTGTGCACGTCCAGCACTACGCCCACGACTTTTCTGCTAAGCAGGGTGTAACTGCTGTCAGACCCACCCATGTTCTATGTAAGTGGGCAGCATTGGCCCAGCAAAGCCGTAAACTAGCATACCAACTTCCTCCCTCCCCATCGGGATGCAGTGACCTGGACAGACAGGTGAGACTGACCTGCCCACAGACCTGCTGCCTGTTCCAAGAACGCTGGAGGGGACTGGGCTTAAGTCTCCTGAGTTTGACCTTTATAATTTTTCTACAGATCATGCTAACTTATGTGCCAGCTTTTATCACGGGCCCTAACTGTGAATAGCTACTTACTCTTTTACATAATACCCCAAATGCCTCAATTTAATTCACAACATTGTTGCAAGGATAGAGCAGAAATTTTAAGTTTCATAAGTACAAAGTATTATTTTTAAGATGTACCTTTTCATTTCATCATCTATTTGTAACTTGGTAAAATTACCAACAGTGAGCCAAACCGGTGACACAAACCTCTATAATCCCAGCACTCTGGGAGGCTGAATCAAGTTTGGGAGGATTGCAAGTATGAGTCCCACCTGCACAATTCAGCAAGTCAGACACTGCCCCAAAATAAAACCTAAGGGGTGGGGGTCAGGATCAGTGTAAAGGCTCCAGATTTCAAGGCCCAGTACCCCTCACCTCATAAAAGGCTTTTTAAAAAGTACCAGTCAAAAATGTATTAATAGTATTTATAAAATACTACAGAAGCTTAGAAACTAGAAAGCAATAAAGATCTCCAAATTCAAATCCTCTAGACATTAACATTTCAAGTTTCCTCTGTCCTGTGTCCATTTTCTTAAAAAGCTATATATTTCCTTTCCAATTACTATAAGTTAATATTTTTCTTTAATATAAATTCTCAAACATGTATTTTTTTTTTTAATCCAAACTCTTGACCTCAAACTTGCCAGGCATAAATTACTGTGGAACATTTACATTATCTTTATTTCCTTTGCAATTAACACTGTAATATTGTGCTTATTATCTTGTGAGCATTTAGTTTCCTGGGGATACACTGATAGAAAATCGAAGAAAACACACAAATTACCAAAGTGCTTCTGCCAAGCGGTGCCGCCTCCATGCATTCCTCAAGTAACTGTTTACATTTCTGATCCCTGCTGTTTTTTAGGGGAGTATGTGTTCGTCTCCATTAAGGAGCATTTCAACTGTGCTTTTCTTGTTGTTGTGCCTACTCAGTATTTCTGTGCACTGCACACCACTGCTGGCTGTACCAATCACTGCCAAGAACGCCTTCCCGACTCACCATCCCTGCCTTCAACCCGCAAATGCAGCTGGCACTAGTTTTCTAGGGAACTCAAGAGTTACTTAAAACCTTTTTCTTTTCTCTTAAAGAATTTCAAAGCACTAATTCTTTTTTTTATATCAACTTTCTTCTACCTTTTATTTTAATCCAATAGTGCATTTTAAGCATAGGCATGTTTCATAGAGAATAAGTAACTCACCAATAGTGGCTGAGAAAAGAGTTCTAGTTGAGCTCTGTAAATGATATCACCAAGAACTTCCTGGCCAAGGTCCCACTGTCCATTATACCTGTGGAAAAGGAGAAAACTTACTGTGTTCTTGAGACATCTCATTATGTAGTTCATCCTGGCCTTGAACTCCCTGTGTAGCCCAGGCTGGCCTCAAACTCATGGCAATCCTCCTGCCCCAGCCCCCCGAGTGCTCAGATCACAAAAGTGCGCCATGATGCCTACCCAACTCGCTGTCTTTGGCAAGTATCTCTAATCTTTAATAGAATTTTTTTTTGTTGTTGTTTTTGTGTTTTGAGAAAGGGTCTCACTTTGTAGGTCAGGCTGGCCTTGAACTGTAGCCCCAGCTGGCCTCCAACTCGGGGCAATACTGCTGCCTCAGCTTCCCAAATGGTAGGGGTATAGGCATGCACCGCCATACCAGAAAAAACACAATTTTTTTACTGTTCCAAGTCCTACTATTTCAGTTCTAAAACAAGATTTTTCACACCAAAGCTGAACGCTGGGATTATAGGCATGTACCAGCAAGCCCAGACTATCTAATTTATTTCTAAACTGTCCTACTTTAGGGTATAATAACAAAGTGAAGATTTCAAATACCATGCTTAAAGTATTTTTAGAGCCAGGGGTGGTGACCCTGTTTTAAAAAGCCAAGAATAAAACGTTTCTTCATATAAATTTGTTCATGTTTTGATATGCAGAGCAACCTAATTCATACATTCATGAAAACCTGTGTTGTAAACAATGTAGAGATACATATATAGTTTTCTACACAGAAAGCCTGACAATTTCTGAGATTTTTAGGCACATCTAAATTTAGGCACATCTAAATTTCAATTTTAGTATCTAGTTATGTTATACAATGGTTACTTAAAAGTGCTGAGAGGAATTGGAAAAACATGATTTTTGTTCCACTATGCAACAAACGATTCTGTATTATTTCTGACAAAGGAGAAAGGAAACACAAAGATTACCCAAGCATTAACAAGAACTCAGGAATTGCACACTCTGCCTACTCACATGGCATAATAAACCCCCGTGAGGAGCTGCACCATAAATTCAGGATCCAATACTATTCGACCACAGAGTTCTTTCCAGTGTTTTTCGTGTTGCCGAGGAAACCCACTCACACAAACCCTAGAAAAACACAGCATTTACCATTTATCATGTGTGATTTCCTGATTTGGTAATTAACGTTTTTTATTTCATCATTTTATTAGGTCAATTATTCATTCTTCAAATATTTAGTTTTAGTCTTTTTTTTTTGCAGAACCGGGGATTGAACTCAGGCCCTTGTGCTTGCCAGGGAAGCGCTTATTCCACTGAGCCATCTCCCCGGCCCCTCATTCTTCAAATATTTAATGATGCCTGGCACATGTAAGTCATTGTTCTGGGTCCAGGATACAGTCATGAATAGGTAAAAGATTAAAATGTGTACCGTTATAAAGCCCACATCCTAGTGGAAAGCACTAACTTTTCACAACTAGCTAACGAATTCTTTCACCAACCCCCCTCCCCTAGTCACACATATGTCCCTCACTTTTATTCCCCTCAAATTGTTATCAGAGAATTGCTAAGTGTAGAAATCTCAAAACAAAGAGATGTTTCAAAATACTGTCTGTAAAGGCAGTTTTATTTATTTATTTGCCATTTTTATGGTTTCATTTAAGCAGAATAAAATGTGCACAGGAGCCATTTATTCACTCTGGTACCAGGCAAAGCGACACTGGCCTGGGCTGCTCTTTCCAACAGGTCAGCGGGCAGTCTCAGGTCTTATGCAGCAGGGCTGCTGCTCAGAAGCACGCTCCAGCTCCTCCAGGCTGCAGGGGGTACCCCCAGAAGCCAGTGAGCAGAATGGGCTTTGCTTCCTCATTGCTCCTACAGCTAAGACGTAGTCCTTGAATTTCTATGCCCTGTGTTCAGTACCCCTGGCTGCCTTCCAGTTCCACAAGTTCTGGCACATTCGTCCAGGTGAACCCTGGTGGATGAACTTACACTTTTGGGGAGAAGAGCCTGAGAGCAGCTTGATGTCCACAGGAGGTGCTACCAGCTCGGAGGTATGAGAAGCAGAGAACTGGGGACTGTTTTCAATCAAAGAACCATAAACATTCCCTACCTTCCACCCATCCCACTTGAGATCCTTCCAAAAATACTCCTCTTAATCATTATCAAGGGCCAGGGATATAGCCCAGTGGCACTGGGCCTGATGACATGTGCAAAATCCTGAGTTTGATTCCTAGTATAATGGGCTTTATTATTTTAATCAATTCATTTTTTTAAGGATAAATGTGGCCCCTTCGATAGCTCAGCTGGTAGAGCGGAGGACTGTAGGCGCTCGCTCGTAGGCATCCTTAAGTCGCTGGTTCGATTCCGGCTTGAAGGAGAGGTGGCTTATTTTGGGACTGGTGGGATGGTTCAGTGGTCTAAAGCACCTACTTAGAACAAGCTTAGCAAAACAAAGGGACCGCGGTTCAATCCCCCAGCACCACATGCCAGCCAGCCCCACCCCCTGGTGGGCTGAGCTGGCCACACACACACACACACACAGACAAATAAACAAATTTTTTTAAAAAAGGATAAATGTGAATCTAGAAAAGAAATTTTTAGTACTTAGTGCTTTATGGTCTCAATAATTTTTTAAAATTTCATGTATAAATTTGTTTCTTTTTTTTGGGGGGGGTCTCCTTTAGGCTGCCTTAAGACCAGGTCTGATGTGGCCTGTGAAACTGGGGATCGAACTGCGGTCCCCTGTGCCTGACTGCATTTGCCCAAGCGGCACTTTAAACAACTAAGCTAACGAGCAAGCCCCCATACACACATATATTAACTACTGTAAAACATTCCAAGTTGTCAGCAGCATCACACTGAGGTAAAATGGTGTGGGGAAAGTGGAGTGGAAATTCAATTTCAAGAAGAAAAAGGAACAGTATAATGTCAGACTATTAAAGAGGCCTGCTCATGTGTTCTTCAGCTCATGTTGGTGAGCAGCACATTCTTGTGACACTTTACACACATTCTGAATAACCCCACGCTCTCTGTGTATGCAGACGGATAAACGGCTGCCACCCGTAAGCCAAGAGCACCTTCACCAGGTACCTACCAAACTGCACCTCGACCATGGACTTTCCAGTCTCTAGACCTGTGAGAATGAACTGCTGTCCCATCCCAAACTTGAGTAACTCAATGGTAATCAAAAATTGCCCCAATAGTCACACATTGGAAATTATATCATTTACAACTAAAAAGACAGAAAAATGTTGAAGCTGAGAAAGGTGGTGCCTACCTGTACACCAACTACTTAGGAGGCAAAGGCAGAAAAATCTCACTTAAGAACAGCCTAAGCTGGGCAGTGTGGCACATGCCTATAATCCCAGCATCTGGAGGCTGAGGCAGGAGAATCCTTGCAAGTTTGGGACCAGCCTGGGCTAGAAAGTGAACTCAAAGCCACCTGAACTACAAGGTGAGACCCTGTCTCAAAAAGACAAAACAAAACAAAATACGAGCAGGCTAGGCAACTCAGTGAGACCTTGTATCTCAAAAACAGAAACAGAGTAGGGGATATGGCTGAGTGGTAAAGGACTTATTCTGCACATTAGCCCCTGGGCCCAATCCCTGGCACCACCACAAACACACAAAAACAAAGACGAGGGCCAGGGAGATAGCTCAGTGGAATAAGAGCTTGCCTAGCAAGCATAAGGTCCAGAGTTCAATCCCTGGTACTACCAAAAAAAACCCCCAAAAAACCAAAGCTGAGTGACTTAAAGTGTCAGTTTAGGAATATATACGGATGCTAAGCTTCTCAAAGTTGTTTTGGGAAACAGGCAAACAAGTGTGATAGGACTAGCAGCCTCTGCCATAGCTTTGTTTTCTTTTCTTTCTTTTTTTTGGCGGAACTGGGGCTTGAAGTCAGGCCTTGCGCTTGCCAGGGAAGCACTTATTCTACTGAGCCATCTCCCTGGCTTCTCCTTCTCCTTCTTCTACTTTTTCAATGTATTTTAGTACAGGGTCTACAGGGTCTCACTATACAGATCAGACTCGTAGTGATCCTCCTGTTTTCAACCTCCCAAGCGCTGGGATTACAGGCACGCGCCTCCATGCCCAGTCACAGTTGCCTTCTCAGCTCGCCCAGTGCCATAGCTTTTAGCACTAAGAAACTATTAAAGATGATACTAACGTTGCCAGTAAGAGGCCTGGCATACTTCTTTTAATGAATCCAAAATAGCCACTCAATAAATTTTTCTGTAGATTGGAGCTAAGGGATTAAACTAGTATTTGCTAGAAAACAAAACGTATGTTAACAACAAGAACTGTGTTGTTCATTAATATTAGAGGCTCATTTAAAAATATTACCAAGGCAATAATATACTTACTTTAGAATCTGTAAAAAAATTTTTTTGTGGTACTGGGGATTGAACTCAGGACCCTAAGCTGCACTTATTTTACCAAGCTATCTCCCAGGCCCTAGAATCTATAAAACTATTGATGCAGCATCTAGACTGGGTTTCTCCCAATCAGCAAAATGAATGTTTTGTTATAAAAAGGTCCACACACTTCCCAGTAACACAAAGCATGCAAACAGGGCCAGAGTACTTGCAACACTCCTTTCTAGGATTTACATATACCCCATGCCATCCCCTCCTCCAGGCAAAGCTGTGTCTTGCTTCCAAGAGAAGGCAGCAAAGCCACAATGTGGGATTCTGTGGACTAAGACACTAGGGCTCACTGGCCTCACCCTTGTCCCCTGGCTTTGGAAAGCAAGCTGCCCTACCACAGGCAGGCAGTACTGGGAGGCCCATGCGCCTGGAACTAAGGGTGGACCGAGCCCTCTGTCCTCCTGACAGACACGTTCTGCCCACAGGAAACAGACCTTAGCTCCAGAGGATGCCCTGCTTCCAGCCTAGCAAACCCTAAGCAGAGGACCCAGCTAAGCCAAACCTAGATTCCTGGCCACCACACACTGTGAAATCACAAATGTGTGAGGTATTAAAAAAGAGGAGTAGGGGGCCTGGCCCTAGCTCAGGCCTTTAAGTGGCAGCTTCCACAAAGCTGTCAGCCTCAGGTTGCTGGAGTTCGAACCTCACAACTCTCCCGCTGGCCAAAAGTGCCCTGAAGGCATTCGGGGAACAAAAAAAAAAAAAAAGCCTTTCTGGTTCCCCGGCCATCTTGGCGGCTGCTCCTGGTTGAGGGCCGTCCGCACCTAAGACAGGAAGATGGTGGCCGCAAAAAAGACGAAAAAATCTCTGGAGTCCATCAACTCTAGGCTCCAACTTGTTATGAAAAGTGGAAAATACATGCTGGGGTACAAGCAGACGCTGAAGATGATCAGACAGGGCAAAGCGAAATTGGTCATCCTTGCCAACAACTGCCCAGCCTTGAGGAAATCTGAAATAGAGTACTAGGCCATGTTGGCCAAAACTGGTGTCCACCACGACAGCGGCAATAATATTGAACTGGGCACAGCATGTGGAAAATACTACAGAGTGTGCACACTGGCAATCACTGATCCAGGTGATTCTGATATCGTTAGAAGCATGCCAGAACAGACTGGTGAAAAATAAACCAAGCAGATTTTTCATGAATAAAACCTGCCATAGCTTGTTAAAAAAAAAAAAAAAAAAGAGGAGTAATCTTTTATGTAGCATTAGAAAACTAATACACAATTCAACCTTTTGGGGGCTCAGTTTCCTCAAGTAAAAACAGCTGGACAGGATAAACCTGGAGCCGAAATTCTGGGAATCTACTTAAATCTTTTTCTATAGTGGAAAGTTAAATTTTAGCCAAGTTTGTTAAGATTATTAGAAATTCTGATTTGAGACACACAGAGCCACCCCACATGACCAGAGATTACTGGTGTCACAGCTACATTCTCCCCAACACTGGGGCAGTTGTCTGTGAAATGCACACATGAAGATTTACAGGCCTGGAGACATTCCCAGGTGCAGCCCTCTGAACCTTGAGCAGAGGACCTGGCCAAGCCAGACTCAGAGACAGGAAACTGTCTACTTACTTGACACTCCCAACGCACATTATAAAATATACCACCTAGAAAACAGTATCACTAGATAATCCTAAATTTAGATGTCTTGACCTAAGTCCTGCTCAGGAAGGAAGTAACTCCTTTAATGCTAAAATAATTTCCAGGAAGTCAGGAGGAATGATCCAGCTTCCTACGTTCTGTTAACTACTGTGCCATGAGAGGTTACAACAGTGTGGCAAATAACAAGCTCAATAATATTTGTCCAATAAATGGAGGAATATGAAAGTTGACAATAATTATGCTTCTCACCTGGAGCCCATCTGACAAAGGGACTGGTAAGATGAGGCCGGCATATACACAATAGCAGAATTATAACACAGCATGAGAAAACTCAGGACTTCAAACCTAGGGAGAGAAAAAGGAAAAAGTTTTACAAACAATATTTCTGCCAGAGTCTGCAGCAAATTATTTATTTAAGGGACGGTTGTAACACTGCCTTCACATTGACCTTTATGATTTCTCAGGCAGGTATTATAGCAGCTTCCTTTCCATATCCATAGCCTCTGCTGTCTTCTCTATGTCTTCTTTGAGAAACAAATCACCACACCACCAAAGAAGGCCATCTTCCTATTGACTGACCCTAAAACCCAAACTTCAGTCTGTCAAGTCTACCCTCAACCCACCTCTCCAGCCGTCCCCCACGGCCCCCAGTGTGCCACCCCATGAGTGTGCCTCGAACGCCTACCCTGCTTTCATGCTTGCTGCTCCATCTCGCCGGGACACACCTCTCCATGCTACGCTGGGATGTGCCCTACCACTGCGCTACACTGACTGCAGTGGTGATGAACCTTTCAAAGCTTTCAGTCGTAACAAACAGCCCGCTGCAGCACCTGTGCCTCTAAGTCTGCCACCACTGCCCTAGCACAGTAGTCATTTCTTTAAGTTTGTAACCTACACAGGTTTTCCCACATGAAGCACATTCATAACAGTGCTGCTGTGTCTGTCAAAACAAATGCTATGTGGAACACAGAGGTCCAAACAGACATGTTTGTTTTTACTTAAGAGAGCCTTGGTGGAATACCAGAGGATGGCTCATTAGTAAATAATCCTGCCCTTGTCCAAGAGAAGTGTGGCTTTTGCTTCTTGGAAGTAATCTATATCATATCTCTTAAGAGTATCTTTGTTTAGGATTGGGGCTGGTAAAACAGAAATCATGGTAGTCCTATCCACATAGGACATTTTTAGGGGGACTAAAAAGAACCACCATGTGATTTAATGTGGAGACTTCACATCACCTGGATCAGCTGACTAGGAGACTAGGATTAACCCCATGACCAATTAATCTTAACAATTTAATTTGATGAAGCCTTAACCAAACCTTGAGAGAACTTCCCTAGAGAGCAACACACTGCGTATGCTGTCACATATTTGGGTCCTGACTCCCTGGCAAAGCTCAAAGTCCTCCCATACATCACCTTATACCTCTCTCCCTTGGGCTGATTTTAATCTGTATCCAGGCCCTGTAATACACTCTAACTCTGAGTATCAAGTTCAAGGAATTCTGAAAGTCTTTCTTATACCTCATTAAACAAGAGGATGCAACAGCAAACAAACACTCAGTTGCTATTAGAAATTAGGACAATCTAGGGATGGGGAATTCTGCAGTTGTGTCTGATTTTTGGCACTAATTCCAACTTACAACCCAAAAAGCAAGGTGTAGAAAAGGAAAAA